CGGGGCACCAGTGGGTGTCGGCCGCGGGGGAGTGGGGAAGGCGCATCCACGGGCGCGGGAGGCGCTGGTGCTTGGAAGAAGAGCAGCGTGACAGCGTCTATTTCACATAGAATCACGGGATGGTTTAGGTTGGAAGTGAACTTCAAGATCATCGAGTTCCAACCCCCCTGCCATGGGCAGGGACACCTCCCACCAGACCAGGTTGCTCAAAGCCCCATCCACCACCTGGCCTTGGACACCTCCAGGGATGGGGCCTCCACAGCTTCCCTGGGCAGCCTCTTCCAGTGCCTCACCACCCTCACAGTAAAGAACTTGTTCCTAATATATTTTCTAAATCTCCCCTCTTCCAGTGTGAAGCCATTGCCCCTCATCCTATCACTACATGCCCTTGTAAAAAGATAATTAATCAGGGGTGGAAAACTTGTGATTTTTTTTCTTTTTTGGTGGATTTTTTTCTTGCTGTCAAGACAGGCCAGTACGCCTGCTGGCATCTGTTTCAGCAGCCATCGACTTTTGCATCTGTTCATGCTGCCTCCACGCTCTGATTTACCTTTAGGTTTTGATAGAGGCTGCACACTTTTAGTGTTGCCACATGGCAAATATCTTTTTTACCCCCAAATCAAACTTTGTTTTGATAGTGGTTAGAAACCAAAATGCAGAAAAACAGGACTTTACGATCAGTAAACATTCACTAGATCATTTAATACTTATTTCTCCTCTAAATACTGCTTAGATAAGAGTGTTAACTGTAGTTAGTTATTTCAGCTGATGGAGATGACAAACACTGTCTGAAAGCAGATGGTCTCTTTTTTTTCTATTCCTTCTCCTCCACCTCAGATTGAAAAAGGAGAAGTGGGTCCTTTGAACAAATTAATCAATGACACAAGCTAACTGAATGAAATGGAATGGAGGAATTTTTTTCTCTCCTTTCAGAACCTGCTGAAGAAGTCGGTGTCCTCAAAACCAGGTTTAGAACTTCAGCAAAGTGAAGTCATTACAAGGGCTTAGTCAGTAACTTTGAGCACCTCTGTAGTTCATACTTAAAAATATTTGTATATATTATTTGTAACTGATTTAAGAGCTCGTGTTACATTTTACCTTAATGTATTCAACTGCTATTAAATAGATTATTTCTTAATCATATAACTGTTGCATTATGAATAGCTGGTTTGATTGTAATCGCTTTGTAATTCCTTAATTCTTATACTACCTTCTGTTAGCCTTAATGACTAGCCCTTGATCAGTACTTATTGTAAAGAAATGTAGATAGCTGGGGATGATCAAGTTTACATGTTTGAAGAGCTACAGTGAGTCAGGTAGTCAACCGTGCATGCCAGCTGTAGGTAAAGAGCATGCTTGTTGTTTAAACTAATTTACGCATGATTATCTTTTTAAATTCCTTCTTACACAGGTGACTGGGGGGGAGGGAGGGTTAATTCACCAATGTTAAACCTAAATTGTAAAGTCAAAAAATTTCATTTCAAATTGTGCTAGTGACTAAATGCAGTTACAATGCTGAAAAGCTGTGGCTTTATTGCAAGAGTGCACCTCCTGTCTCAGCTGAACGTGTTTAAAAGCTTGCTGTACGCAGAAGAAAGAAGTCTAACATCTTTCCTTTTTCCTCTCTTGCTGCTGACCGTGCAGTTACGTGTTCCTGTACCCGCCCCAGTTGCCCCGTTTTCATTGCGTGTACCATTTTTTCCTTTTTGGGATAGTATTTTTTTTCTTCTGAGCGAGTGAGCTGAATCAGCACGGATCAGAGGCTACTAAAGATGTTGATTTTTTTTTTTTTTTGAGTGTGGGTGAAGTTTGATATTGACCAGAAAAAAAAGGAACATTTTAACATATTGAAACTGTACTACAGAAAAACAAGTCTTAATTGTAAAGCATTAGTGTTGATCAGTCAAGTAGCACTTTAAAATTACAAGTTCCTCTTCTTATGCAAGAGTTCTTCCATACCTTTGTTTTTAGTGATGTGTTAGAAGTCTTGCAGCTGTTCTGGAACAAATTGACAGAGATAAAATACTTGAAATTACTACTACCGTCTTCAGATTTTTGCATACAATGATAGGGGTAATAGTCCTTTTAACGAAGGGTGTCAATTGTGGGGCTGCTGTGCTCTTTAAATCCTTGATGTTCCTGTCACAATGAAATACAGCAGGTAATTTCGTAGAATCGCAGAACAGCTGAGGTGAGAAGCGACCACTGGACATCATCCAGTCCAACCCCTGCTCGAGCATGGTCACCTATAGCAGGTCACTCAGGGTTGTGCCCAGTCAGGGTTTGAATATCTCCAAGGATGGAGACTCCACAACCTCTCTGGTCAACCTGTGCTGCTGTTGGACCACCAGCACAGCAATTGTTGGGTTTTTGGTTGTGGTTATATTTTTTTTTATGATTTCTATGTGAAACTTCTTGTATTTCAGATTTAACCACATGTCATACCTGAACAGTATCAGAAAACGCTCTTAATATTTACTCCTTGTCTTCATTACAGATTGTATTATTAATCTCATTTTCTGGCAGGTTTAGTGTGTAGGAGGGTTTTTGGTGGTGGGTTTTTTTTGTGGTTTGGGGTGGTTTGGTTTTTTTTTTTTTTGTAGAGGAAGTTCTTTATGTGGTTATTTTTCAGAAGGTATTTTTGAAAGTGCCACTGATATAAGTCTGAGGATTAACCATACTCAAATATTCCAGATGAGAACGAAGATTTCCAGAAGCTTGCAGAAATGGAAATCGCCTCCTGTGAAGAAGAGATAGCTGAACTGAAACACCAGGTTAAAATCCCTTTTAAAAACCTCTATTTCTTTGCCATTTTTAAGCAAACAAAGCCAAATTGTCTTCTTGTCAAAATAAGATGTATACAATAAATTCTTTTCCCCCTCCCTGTCAGTTATACTCCTCACCTAGGGTAGGTTATCACAGAATTTTCAGAGTTGGAAGGGACCTCTAGAGATCATCTAGTCCAACTCCCCTGCTAAAGCAGGATTGCCTAGAGCACAAGGAAAATGCTAAGGAAATTTCTAAGGAAAATGAAAAATGCAGATGGTGTGGAGACAGCCTGTAAGTGCGTGCCTACTTTTATCTGAAGTTCTTTGAATCAATACACCTTTATAAGTAGCTGCTATAGTTTGTCTTATCCGGGTGTACCTTTATGGAGGTCCACCTTTTTATCTATTGGAAACATTAAACTTGTGTAGTATCACACGTGAGTGGTTTTGAAAAAAATAGTTTAATACTATGTAACTACTTCAGACTGCTACCTTGTATGGGTTCTACATAGTATCTATGTTATTTAACAAAAATAATCATAGAATCATAGAATGGTTTAGGTCGGAAAGGACCTTGAAGATCATCGAGTTCCAACCCCCCTGCCATAGGCAGGGACACCTCCCACTAGACCAGGTTGCCCAAGGCCACGTGCAGCCTGGCCTTGAACACCTCCAGGGATGGGGCCTCAACAATCTCTCTGGGCAACCTGTTCCAGTGCCTTACAGCCCTTAAAGTGAAAAACTTCTTCCTAATGTTTAATCTAAAGCTGCCCTCTTCCAGTTTAAAGCCATTCCCCCTCGTCCTATCACTACATGCCCTAGTAATGATCTGTTCGTCAACAAATTGTTACATATTCTTAATGTTACTGGTGAAGTAGAAGCCGGTATTGTCACATCCTTTATTCCTTCAACAAGAATACCACAGTCACTTCATAAATATTTTTGTAAATACTTATGATTTTGCCAAAAGAAGAAAGAGAAGCTGTGGAAAGAAACATCACCTAGTGCTAGTGAAGGAAGATCATTGAAAAGCATTTGCAAATCATCCAGAGTTTTGATCCAGCCTGCAAAATTGTGATACGGGGTTTTTTTTGTTGTGGTGTATCTTTCTTCTATGGGTCAATATAAGGCTGTCTCTCCCTTTGTCAATAAATAAATGAATAACACAGCTGAGTTGTTGTTGAAGGACGGTGCTCCTGAACATGCATAGCTGCTTAGCTCTGCAGTTGAGGCTGGGTGAAAAGGGAACGTGCTGGGAAGGGAGATGCTGAGCTGTCTTGCAAGGACCAGCATGTATCCTGTGGTGTCCCAACGCCACAGTGCTCTTGATGGGTGAAAACTTCTGTGAAGTTTCTCAGGCCTTGAGAGAGACCTGTGTAGCTCCTGCGACTGCAGACAGACACAGGGACCTTGTCCCTCCCCACTACCTCCTCCTGACCACGGCTGCTTCGCTGCAGGAGTCATGAGGAGCCTGTCCTCTGGGCAACCCACCGGCTAGTGCAGGAGAACGCAGCCTACACCGATTACAGACTTGTCTGGCGTTTTATGTTGTCTCAGTTGTGGTTAGCAGCATCAGAGGGGAGTCTTAGCTGGGTGTTTTTGTGTTCGCAGATAGTGTTGCTTTTGGTTCCCTCCGAAGAAACAGACAAGAGCGATCTTGTCATGGAAGTAACCCCTGGAGTTGGAGGGCAGGAGGCCATGCTGTTCACCTCGGAGATATTTGACATGTATCAACGATATGCTGCCTATAAACAGTGGAAATTTGAAATATTAGAATACTTTCCCAGTGAAATAGGTCAGTAATGAAAATACTTAATCTTTGTAACTTTTTAATTTAAGTTGAAACACTCATTCATATGACACTTGAATTTCCTGACTACAGGAAGCTAATTTGCACTAACTTAATTTTAGAAGCGGAAGATTGTTTGAATGTCTGAGTACAATTTTCCTCAGCTTCTGTATTTAAGAATGAAATTCCATTTCAGAAGTACTATTAAAATATTAAAGTGCTAAAAAATAAAACTTGTCTTTCAGTAGTTTCAAAACATAGAAAGGAAACTATGCACTTGGTGGAAGAAAATTCAGAAAGTGATGCAGATACGTTATTTTAGCTTTACCTTTTTACAAATACAGATTACATATACTTTTTATTTGGATATGCTGTTCTACCTAGTTACTTAATGTTTCTAGCGTTTATAGATCAGTTTGGTGGCAGGTTGAAAGTTTGTTAATTTTTATGGATCCCTTGGCAGAGAGGGATCAGTATAATTAAAACTGTTCTTGAGATTTAATCTAAAACATCTGGAATGTATCTGAAATAATGTGATCTGAGGATTCATATAATGTAATGGGATGTTTGGATATAACTCTTCTGTAACAGCCAATGGATGAGCGAAGTGGGAGAATTGTTGAGACTTTCAGAGGAGAGATGAGAGATCTAATTATTTATGAAAGTCTTCAACTAAAATTTCACAGGTAATCAGTTTAACAGCTTGATGCCAGTAAAAGGAGATGTTTCTCCTACTTCCCTTACTGCCTCCCGGCCTGTCTAAGCAGTCCTACCTTTTTTCTCTTTTTTGGGGGGCCTGTTTTGATGTGCTTTCACTAAAACTGACAAAGACTTTGCTTTTTATTACTGGGGTAGGGTTTTTTTTGCCTAGTTAATGTGCTAAGACAGTTCTCATGAGCCTTAGAGCCAGCATAAGATAAGCAGTAAGGTGGGGCTGAATGCAAGGAGGTAGAAAAACTGGATCTTCTGATGATGAGCTGTGAAGTTGGTTCACTGCATCTCATGGAACAGTGTCTTCTCAAAGATGGGGGCTGGTAGGTTTACACAATAAACTGAGGCAGTGGCACGTGTTAGTTAATTTTAGCTTAATCCAGTTAGTGTATAAAGTTGTTTCACAAAGATGAGGTTGCTGCTGAATTCTGTGCTTTGGCACTTGTGATTATGCGTCTTTGCAGAGTCTCATCACCAAGTCAATCCAACTGAAAAATGGCACAAAAAAGCCCCCACCATTAGTTTTCAGGTGATCCAGCACAGGAGAAGCGGAAAAATGCTCGCATGGGTGGTGGAGGCAGAAGAGTGCGGTGACTGGTGGTGGCAGTGAGAAAACCAGGACCTCCTGCCAAAAAAGCGAGAGGTTCAGTCACCTTAAGCCAACTGTGAAACTGTAATCCAAAACGTGCCCAACCAGTGGCAGGGATTTGGGGATTTGATTGACAGATTGTTAGCTGCGTTTCTCAGCAGGCTAGATTTGCTAAGTCTCTCTGTGTTAACAGATCGACGGGCTTACTGATATCCATGCTGTCGTGAGTAAAGCTAGTACATTTTGCTTACCCACGTATTGCTGTGGAGGTGATGTATATATCGTAGTGGGTGTGGATCGGTAGATGGGCGCTTGTGCAGCTTACTGCTCTTAGCTCAGATTGGTTGTGAAACTTTACCTCTATTTGTACTTTCATCAGCATTTTTTTTTCTTTTTTAGTGAAACTTTGAAGAAGAAATGAGAAAAGCTAGGATGTTAGGCTATGCAGTCTGTCAGAAAAAACTGTAATCTTTTTTCAGTCAACAATATAATTGCAGAGAGATTTTTAAAAAGCTTTGAGAAATGTGAGACATCTTTTAACACTTCTGTTTACTTACGCCGTATTTTGGACTCAACAATATTTTCAAGTATCTTGAACCCTTTCTGTTTCAAATGTGTAGAAATCGAAAAAAATAAATACCCTCAACTCTCCTAGTTGAGTTTCTCATGTCAGTGAGCTACTTTCCTCTTCCAATGAGGGTCTTTCTGTGCACTAAGACCCTTTTTACCTAAGTACTGTTTTTGATTTACTGTTATATATTGAGGGATTAAAAGAAGGTTCAAAAATTGGACTCCATGGAAGAAATACAGTTGGACATCACAAACTGGGAACTTGAAAATCTAAGTACAGGCTTGATTTGTTGTCTGTATTCACACTTCACCTTTCAGATATGCAGATACAGTTTAACCCGCTATGGATTTCTCTTTCACTTCTGGCTTTTAAAAAATCTTTAATAGAATTTGATTTTTAAAAGTGTTATATCTGTAAAATGTTCTTTAGAGTTCTTAGCAGGTGACTTATTTCAAGTTGATGAACGTGAACTCAGGTTTTCACAGTATCAGAATCTCTTTCTAGAGTCGCTGCTGTCAATTCAATTAATATACTTTTTTTTTAATTTAATGATGCTTGAATTCAGTATTGTCTATCTAGATTTGTTACTACTAATAAACTTTTTTTTATGGTCAAGAGGTCATTTGTCAAGTAAACTGTTTGCACAGTTCAAGTGAAGGTAGGGAGAAGAAGAAGGTTTATGTTACGGCGCAGCTTGTTGCTGAAAGAGGAAAGTCACGTTTATCCCCGTTCATGACCAGGCAAACGCTTTCCCAGGAGCTGAGCCAGTTCAGCCTTCAAAGCCAAGAGAAATCTATTATTTTTTTTATTTAAGTAAATGGAATAAACATGGTGTGGGTTAGATGGGTGTAAACAGAATGGGTGAAGAGGCTGGGTCTTCCTTTATTTCATATACTAGGGGGAGAGGACAGTTGCCCATTCCACTGAGGCAACACGTAGGTGGGGTGAACCCCAGCAGTCTCATACAGCTTCAGCTACAGAGCACAGTTTCACAGTCAGCTTAAAGAAAAGCTGTTCCCACCTTCCTGCCAGCTGCCAGCTGTCTGCTCCTCTCTCTCAGCTCCAGCAATTTTGAGGCCACAGTGTGGATCAATCCACTGATTTGGCTTAAAAACTCTCTGTTACTGGATATTTTTAAGTCTGGTCTGACTCAACTTGCAGTCCTGTGATTGGAAGAGAAAGGGAGTTGAGCTTGACTACCCTTTTGGTGAAAGCTCAGTCCTTGGACAAGGAGCCCACATCCTCAGAGGCATTCTCTTTAATGCCTTAAATGGGAAATTGAAGTAATACATTAACCTAGTACATATATGGCCATATTTTCTCTTTGAAACTGCTAGGTTTCTAATGGATACGTATTTATTTTAAACTCTTGTCTTGCTGAGGGCTTGCCTGTGCACTGAAATGAATGTTTAGGAAGGTAGGATGTAAATTTAGAGAAAAATAAGGGCAGCCCTAGCCTTTGTCATCCTCTCGCAGCATATCTTCTGATCTTGCTTGCATGACCACATACTGTCAAAACCGAGGAGCTAGAGATAAATTGGGAGGTAGGGGCACTATAGATGGCACTGCCACTGAAAGGCATGTTTGAACCCTCAGGTTCAAAGTGTCTGTGCTGTGCTGAGCACGAATGGAGTTAAAGGATGCTTGCTGGTGACACTAAGATATTGCATCCCATCCACGCTCCATTTTTATGGACTGCATGAGCAAAAGCAAGGTCCTACATTAAAACATCAGATTCCCTGATTTCAGAGAGCTCCAGAATTTGGCTGAAAACTGACTGTGAGCATGTGTGAACAAGGTGAATGTTAAACAAACCAAAGAATTGGTTTCAGTCCACTCTTAGCTGACTTTATTGACCTACCCCAGGGGATGCAACTGTGCAAAAATAGCACATTCACGATTTAGCAAGCACATTAAAGCACAAACCCACATGTCATTATTTATCCACTGTCTCTGTAGTGGCAGGCAGAGACACAGATATGGGTCTTTGTCTCAATCCGGGTATAAGACACCACATAAAAAACAAGTGCAAACTCATACCCTTGTTGGCTGCACATCAGCTTTTAGGATAGAGAGGGACATTTTAATTGAAAGGGGCAAGCTTATAGTTAGTAAGAGCTCACTATATTTGACAGGACAACAACATGTCTGCCAGGGTAAATGGTTTGTTGAAATTTCATTGGCTTTGGCTGCATTTCATACTAAACCTGTGTTGGTAATAGTTGATTTGAAGCAGTATGACCTAAATGCCTGTCTTTTGTACCAGGTTCTTGGTCATCTCATGCTAAGTACTACAGTGCCACAGGCACAGTGTTATCGCTACAAACTTTTAACTCTCATGAACATGTCACAGATGTGGCTGCAGCTCAGATAGACAGACTGTACCTGTGGTATATTTATTAATGCCGGGAGAAGGGAGGGAGAAAAGACAGAACATTAGCTTTTGCAATGAATGGCTTCTCATGTAATTAATACCTGCCAGTAGTGCCATAACCTTGTGGACATTCACATTATTTTTACTCCTGACTTAGTCTGGCTTCTTCCTCATGTGCAGAGGTTGCTTATGATTTTTTTTGTACTTGATTTTGTATGTAAAGGAGTAAGTAACTTTTATTACTTAACTACGTTAATTATTTTAGGTTATATAAGAATCTTTTAGAATAAAGAAGAAATCCTTTGTTGATTTGAATAGCATTTGCATAGCAGTAGAAATATTTCACAGTACCTGTTAGAATGAAACTTACTGATCTAAACAGAGGATTTTGACAGATACTCTTATTTGTTAAACTACATGCTTTATGGTCAGATTTATTCGAAACATAATGGATTTATCTATGGAATTGACAGTAGATAATGGCTATAAATTAAATGAGTGAAGCAGTAGGTGTGTTGAACAGTGCATTTGAATCAAAGTGGTACAGATTTGTACAAGTAGAAGAAAACTAGTAGAAGAAACAAGTCAGGAGGACAAAAATGAGATGAAAGAGAAAGGAAGAGGCAGCGTAGGCTATTTTCCACAAACTTGACCGTAGTCAAGTTTTACTACTGTTTTAGTAAAGTTATGAGGGAATGTTAAATTTCTGTATCATGAAAACATTTGCAAACCTTCTCCAAGGAAGTGAAAAACCTGGCCTAGGTTCTGGCTGATGATTTTTTCCTGCTCTGCACAGCATTTTCATGTTCTATGCTGTCTTCATTTTCCTCTCAAAAATGTGTTGTCTTGTCCCTGTGGTTGATTTCCTTAGTCTAGAGATAGCCTAAAGCAGTATTTCTGAGAAATATGTGCCTTTTCTTTTCTTCAGCTGTGGTCTCATGTTGCAAGACTTCAACAGCAATACTCTGTCAGGGCCGCCTATCTCCTCTTTAATCAATCCCTTAGCAAACCATCCACTGTGTTGAGAATGTGATCTGAGAACTGAGCTGGATTAAAAACCAAAATGGGTGAAAAATTACGTTAATTTATAGTGCCATCACTTCTCTGATCCTTCGAACAGTTATACTAGCGCGACTGAAGGGTTTGCATGCTAGCAAACAAGGAAGAGCAAGCAGTAGTGCAACAAACTCCTTCTGTCATGAAACCATGATTGTATTGGGCTTTACTACCAAGTTCCAAGCTGTTCAGTGCTAGTTTTTGGTCTATTGCTGCCAAGCGTTTTGCTGGATGTGTTGGTAAGAGGGGCAGGAGCTGGAGTTCTGCTCGCTCCAAGGGAGCAAAAGATTAAAATGAAATTAAAGAGCAGAGACGAGACACGGGTAGGATGCATAGAGGAGAATGGATAAGAAGAGGAGTGTGAATAACACTCATCCTTTAGTTAAATAGTTGTTTTTTTTCCCATTGAATGATAAGGTTCCGAACTAACAATAAAAGGTGGCTTTCAAAATTTGATCTTTATGTAAACTTACTACTGGTATTAGAGTTCTGCTGTGGTGTATGATTATATGTGTACATGTATGTATGTAGTTCGTAGACAGCCTTTTTATGCGTATAAAAAAATTGAATTGGACTCTGTAGAAAAGAATTTGACAGTCCTTTACTTGAGATAGTGTGTGAGTAGGTATGTCTGGCTTTGGTTTTTAAGAGTTTTCTTGCATTTTTGGTATAATTCTGCCTAAGTATTTAAATGGTAAATTGGTAATTTTAGGAAACAAATGGCAATGATGTCTAAATATGCTGTTTGAAATAGAGCAGCGTAGTACCCACAGTTTTTCTTACAGCTTTACAACTGTTTTTCTTCTCTGTTTAAGGTGGCCTAAGATACGCAGTTGCCAGTATAGCAGGTCTTGAGGCATACAAGTACATGAAATTTGAAGGAGGAGTGCATCGTGTTCAGCGGGTGCCAAAGACAGAAAAACAAGGACGCATTCACACCAGCACAATGACTGTTGCAATATTACCCCAACCCACTGAGGTAATATTTATCTTCTAGTATAACAGACTTGACCATGAGCAATGTTTTTGCATGCTGCATTGGTGATACCCAAGTGTTTTCTGTCTCTGTTGTTATTTTCTCTTAATGATTTTTTTTTAAATCTTAGTTTTAACTAAGTCATGTTTGTTTGTTTATTTTTATTTTTGTCTAGGGGGTTGAAATTTCTGGATTTCCTCATAATCTCAAGAAACTCACTGGCAGTTTACTTCACTGTAACTTGAAAATTCACTGTGACTGTCTCTAGCATGTTTTGTGGAAAACTTTACATTTTTTACAAAGTAACAAAGGACTGAATTAGTTTACGAGCTCATAGGGAATTATTTTAGCACCTCCTCTTCTCCATTTTGTGGTGTCCTCACTTTCTCCTTCCAAAGTGTGTGGGTGATAATTCATTCTCACCATATTTGCTTGGTTAAAAACAACTGACTAAGAATTAAAGCTTTGGTTTGATCTTTGTTTCATGTTGACCTAGCAAATCATCAAAGATGTTATCCTTCCTATTCTCTCCCGAAGTTGTCTCGCTCCTTCCTCCTAGAGACCATTGCCCCATTCCAGAGCCAGCCAAGGCATTATGTTCCATTTTATCTAAAAACTACCTGGTCAAGTTCAAGTATTTGTTAGCTTTGCTGGAAGAGGGTGTAGAGCTTTCAGAAGAGGGGGAAGATTAGTATTAAGGGATGGTTATGCCTTAAGCTACTAGTTGTCTGACTTCCTGGCTTCCATCGTGTCGCATTCCAATCTGGCTACAAGGATTTGTTAATAAGTTTATAAGTGGATGCGAGCTGCTTCTCATAAACTTCAAAAAGTTTGATCTTGCCTGAATGTGCCTTATAAAATAAACCAACTATGCATATTTGACACCTGCTTAGAAAGAAACAACATAAATATGTTCTTTTGTTTTTTCATGTGGGTTTTTTTTTTAATGTCTCCTATGGCAGATGAGGCTGCAAATTAATCCAAAAGATCTACGGATAGAAACAAAGCGAGCTAGTGGAGCTGGAGGCCAGCATGTCAATACCACAGACAGTGCTGTACGGATAGTTCATATTCCAACAGGTGCGTCATTTTTTTCCTTAGTACAAGATCTACAATTGCAAAACTGCTGTCAGAATTTATTTTGAAACAATGATTTTATTTTCAAACTTGGACAACAGTAGAGCAGAGTTTTCATATAGTTCTCGTGTGTTTATAGTACTGTAAATGCACCATCTTATGCCCACTCCAATTTATAATAGTGAAGGCTACTGGCTTCGGTAGGTAAGATACCCATTTTGCCATTAAGCATGACGCTCTAAAAGCATCCAGATCAGTTTCTATTAAAAAGTTATATTTAAGCTTTCAAATAATGGAAAAGAAACTGACAAACAGAGTAGGTTAAAATCTGATGATCTGCCTTTTCTTGACTGGTCTCCGAAAGAGAGATTGCTCTATTTCCATATTAAAATGTTGCTTTTAACTGCAGCGTCTACTCGGGATGCCAGCTTCCATTTGTCTGCTGGCTCCTTTCCCATAGGTGATACACATAATTAGGAGGCCCATCCCCAGAGCTCAGGTTAGGAAACGCAGGAGGGATAAGATACACTTTCAAATGCTACCTGATTTTAGTTATCGTAGCTTTTTATTTATTGCCACTCCTAAGCTTTTTACTTCCCTTTGAGCAATCCACAACAGCTGCCTTGACTTTCATTGCTTTTTAACTTTTCCTCTTCTCCACCACAAACATTAGTCAGGCTTTACAGCCTCAGGTAATCCCGAGTGCTCTTTATCTTCACGTATCCAGATTTTTGCCACCCATTTCTTCATGTTTATTGAAGACATTAATCCATTCTGCACTTGTTGCATCACCTCAGTAAAGCAGAAGGTAAACAGTGGAGAGGATAGAATTCTGTTCAAGATATAGTGACAAAAAGGTACTCCAGATTCAAAAAGTTTTGGATTGCCTGTGTGTTTGGGAAAAAAAACACAAACTAAAACCAGCAAATGATCTTAGTTTTTGCTGAAGGCAGTTATTAGTGTTTGTTATAGAAATCTTAAAATGTATTGCAAATTTTTTTTGTGGTTCTGCACTAGAGATGGTTTACAGGAGGGACTTGTATCTCACCTTATCTCCTGACTTTTTCCTATTCCACCTTTCCCTTCTTCATTCCTCTGATCTCTCTTCCTTTACAATTGTCCTGTTACTTCTTCTATTTCTCTCATCCTAACTCTGTTTATAAACCTTTATTGAGACCTAAAAAGTTGTTTGCAAACAAGTCTTTCATAAAGTAATACTATGTAAAAAGCATACTGTAATCTTATCAGTTACTTAAAATAAATCCAAATAACAGCTTGTGTTATCATCTTCCTGTATTTCTTCTCCCTACTCCTTCTTAGGCTGTTAACTTCTCATCTTAACTTGAATTGTATGTTTTCGGGGAGAAACCAAACGCTTTTTTTTAAAGAAAGCAGTGCCCATTTTTGTATATTCTGATCGTATTCTATATATTCACTATCTCTTGTATTTTACTGCTTCTTAAATCCTAAATTTCCTGGAACTTTGGCCAAAAATTACAAGTATTAAAGGTGTCTTCTGTAAGTCAGGTCACACCATGTATCTTTTATTTCATTATCTACCTGTTGTCCAACATATCGAATTAAGTTTCTTGTCTTATGGCTTAAAGCACCTGTACAACTCAGCCTTCACTTCTCTCCCAAAGTGTACCATTAGACGTTAATAAGCCTGGACTTGTACATTCCCAATCCAAAATATGTATTGAAGAAAGAAACAGCTTATTGTAACATAATAAAAATCATCAAGAAATTGCAAAACCCTTTTAGTGTGTGTTACTGTTAAGTGTTAAATGTCATGATGTTTTTGGCAGGGATCGTGTCTGAATGTCAGCAAGAAAGATCTCAAATTAGAAACAAAGAGAAGGCTATGCAAATGCTATCTGCTAAACTATATAATGCCAAACTGGAAGAAGAAACCAAGAAGAGAAACAGCGTTCGAAAGATTCAAGTAGGTTTCGGTTAATAAAGGTATAATTCTGTACGAGCATATGTTCTTGGGGTAACTGCTGTGTTGAACTGCAAATAGTGAATGGAAATACAGAGGAACAGGAGCCTAGGAAGGACTTACCTGAGGCAAAAAAAATTACGTTCTACTTAAGCAATAAGGGTCATCTATTAGGCAGACTTAACATTTCAGTAGTATGTAAATTGTAGAGATCTAGTGAAAGAAACTGGATTAGAGTGTGAAGAACCATAGCAGTATTAGAAAAAGATACAGTAAAATTATTCTTTTACATGTTTGAGAACAATTGCGGCAGCTACTGAACTGAGCACTATGTAACTACAGCAAATTTTGGATAATCATAGGAGGAAGAGGAAACTTTCGCTTTAGATGCTTAATCAATATTTCATCCTTTTTATAAAAAGATGATAAACTGGTTCTTCTTGTTTCATAGGTTGGGACTAAAGGAAGATCGGAGAAGATCAGAACATACAACTTTCCCCAGGACCGGATTACTGACCACAGGATAAGCAGATCAGTGCATCATATTGAGTGTTTCATGCTAGGGGAAGAAATGCTAGATGAAATGATACAAACTCTGAGAGAATATGCTGATTATGAATCTTTAATGGAAATTATTTCAGAAAGTGAGAAAAAGAATCTATCCTGAACGTTGCTCTTTGTCAGCCCGTTCCAACACATGTAGACATTTGTCTGCAAAGGAGCTTCTTGGAGCACCACCCAGAAAATGCAACTGCTTTTCAGATCATGAAAGACACCACAACTTGTTTCCTCATGACTGATAAACAGTTTTCTTACTTGCTGAGTAAAAGACTTTATTACCTTCATGTGAGACATTATTGCTGCAGCGGTCATCTTAAAAAGTAAATTTGGCTGGGCCAGAAGTAACTGCAGTTTTTAACTTTCTCCACTGAGAAGATACCGATGCACCACTCTCAAAAGGTATGCATTAAAAAACGAGCTATTTCTAGTTCCAGTTTTCATTTAAACAATAGTTCAGACATTAGTACAGTGTCAAATAGCTTACTGAAGAGAACAAAAAAAATCTATTTTGTTTGAGCGATTAGAAGTAAGTGATAAATAAATGACCCCACTACTAATCTGTATATTTGTTACTCACTTACACGTGGCATGGGAGAGGGAGTCCAAGTATACCTCTGTGTTTTCATGCCCTTTCGGCCCTTATTAATAAGCACAAAAAATTGTTTAGGAATATCCTTTGCGGAAAAAAAAAAAAAAAAGCTGTGGAAGCCAAGTGCCAAGTTATATGAATTGTTTTTGAAAAGGATGTTTCTGTTCTTGAGTCAAAAGTTAAAAGAATCATTACAATATTGTTTGGCTGATATTTCAGTCTCCGTTCGGCTTCAGTTCATTTTCTCCTTTATGTTTTTGATTGACTCCAGTTTAGTGATTTTCTAAACATTACTGGTATGAATGGCATCTTACTGTTCTTGTCTATTTAACAGCGTCTTAGAACATTTGACTTGTGAAGGCAAAGTAAAACTTTTGCCTTTCTAATCTATCGATATATGTGCATATGCTTATGTGTGGGTAAAGAAGACTTTTAACATTGATTTTAGACTACATTTTACCATGCCGAATACATATAGCAATACAAAACCTGCAGCTTCCATGCCACATAATCCCGTCATGCATTGTACCTATGCATGTGTGTATACACACAGAGAACGTATCTGAAATAGAAATACCAGTAAATAAGAAATTGGAGCTGAAGGAAAAATGTTACCATGAATTTAGGGGTGTTTATTTTCAGACTTCTAATTAAAATTAGCGTAAGAAATGAGAATAGGAACAAATTAAGTTTGCTATAGAAATGCATTATTTAAACATCCTATATAAAAATCAACTGGTTGTTATGAGTTTATTATCTTCTTTCATTATATCTGAGAGTGCAGTTTGAACCAATGTATGTCAAAAAATGCATAGAACCATTTAATCCATTTATCAGCTTTGTTTTCTAGAGAGTACTGCATGGTAACTATGATTAAGTTCCAAATCTTTTAATTAAAGATGCATACATTAACTTCAGGCGTAGGCATGCCTGTATGCGTAAGGCAAGGCACACATATATCCTGTTGGTGAGACCTAGGTCTTGATTAAGTAGCAGATTTACAACTCCCAACTGGCATATAAGAAAGTAAAAAGGAACGTCAATGCATTTTGTGTGTAAAATAATTAGATATTGATTGGAGCAGAAACTAGGACTGAAGTCTTTATTCCTACCAGACCAGTACCGTAAACAGAAGACTACAGAGCACTTGTGACAGTCTTCTTGACTTCACTTAAAGCCAGACTGTCTTATACCGAGTGATGGGTAGAGTTTGTGATTCCTTCTCTCCAACTTCATATTCCTCCAAACAAATAAGGGCCATCAGCCAGGTCTAAGCACTGTAACCATTCCAGGTCTTTGTCACCGTAGACCTGCCCTGATGTTCCAGCTGGTGGCCGGACTGGACAAGTCCTGCCTGGCTCACAGCTGCCCTGTTCTTGTCTGGCTCCTGAACAGACACTACATGTGTGGTTGCTTTGCAAGCGGCCAGCCTCTGATCGGCGTGAGAAAAGCCAGGTATCACGTAGTTCTGGCAGAAGGCTGACAGAGGTACCCCAAAACTGGCACCTGATGGCATCATACAAGGTGGACTTCACTACCCCGAGTGGTGCCTCCTTGGCCTGTCATAGCACGCGTCACTGTGTAAAGACTGGAAGTCCCTTTCTTGCTCCATACTCATTTTAGGACTACAAATGCGACCTTCCTGGCCTGTGAGAAGGTTTTGAGTTTCCAGCGGCGGTGGGACCCCCACACTGGTGCCCAGTCCCCTTATCTCCCAGTAGCGCTCCTCCCCGCTCTGCCAACTGCTAATAACGTTGATTATACTTTAAAATAAATACAGTTCATCCATGGGGAGGAACCCAGATGCAAGATCCCAAATCCTTCCCCGGTGGAGGAGCTTTGGGCGCTCTGCCCGCGCAAGGACGTTGTCACCATGCCGGGCACATCACTTTCGGAACAAACGCAGACATAGGCGGGCGCTGACACGCGTGTCACCCCCTCCTCCCCTATCCTTAACCCCCCTCCCCCGGGCGCAGAAGTCCCTCCTTGTCGTCGGAGACCGCCCG